GGGGTGGGGGGCGGGGGGAGGGTGTGGCCCAGGCGGCGGAGTGGGGGCGTGGGTGGGGGGCCAGGGCGACTCGGCGGGAGCCAACTTGTTCTAGACTCGGACCCACGCCTTAAGGGGTTAAACCTTTCTTATGTTTCGGAGCGGCTTATAAGAAGGGGGAGGCCAAGCCTCCGCCTTAATTGGGAGCCTTTTGGGGTTTATTCTCTTCTCTCCTAACTTGGTGAGTTGGTTTTATTATTTTACATGTTTAAAAGTTTGATTGTGGGGTATGGGGTTTTTTTGTTTTGCTTTTTTAAATAAGTGTTGGGGGCCTTTTGGGGAGGGGAGGGGAGGGAGAGGAAGCCTCTTAACATTGTAACATTTTGGAGAGGCTATTCCAAAACCGTCTGTGACAGTTGGGAATGCTCCCGGCCACCAGGGTGACGCGCGCTTCTGGCCAGTGTAGGCAGCTGGGAGTTGCAGGTCCATGACCCTCGTACAGTCGGGGTCCGGGAAATACCTAAAGGCTGGCCTGGGCTAGGGGCTCCAAGCTGTCGAGCGAGGCAGGGGCGGCGGGCTCAGCCCCTGTGTGTGTAGATTTTCCGCATGAAGTTGCCTGCGCGTCGCAAGAGCGAAATGTCAGAGGTACCTTCCTTCCCCCAGGCTCGCGCGCGCACGCAGAGGAGCCGCTGAGGCAGCGCGAGGGAAAGTGGGGCTCCCCGTCTCCACCCCGACATCGCATTCCCGGGGGTGGCCCGTGTTGCCCCGGGCGGGAATGCAAGGATTTTTCCCGAGGAGTGCGGGTCCTATTCCTTGACAGAACTGCCAGCGGCTCACGCAGGTCCCGCGCAACTTCCAAGGTTCGCTGGGCTTCCAGCCACCAAGAAAGCGCTGGTGTAGTTTATTGGTTCGGGAACGAAGGAGAACAGTTTTGCAAAGGAAATGGGTTATTTCCTTCTGGGTTGTTTTCATTCCCTCCACCTCAGCAGACAGGTGATAGAAGTTTGTTAGGTGTCATGTAAAATGTCACCAAATATAAGGGGCGTCAGTCTTAGAAAAAAGCTCCCAGGAGCCAACTGGAAAAGAACAGTTGAAACTGGGCGACCCAGGAGAGCGGCTGTTTGCAGAGCTAAACTGTCCTGCCGGCTTCTTTCGCAAAAGGTTTCTACCCTTTGGAAATCGTGGGAAGATAAGTGTCTTGTTGCCAAAAAAAAAAAAAAAAAAGCCACGTGCTTATGCTGAAATCCGGGGTGATGCATCTCCCTTTGTCCCAAGCACTATTTTGTGGCCTTTTAGGGGTCAACAAGACATCCTGCTGATGAATATAATAGGAACACCTCTTCTCCTAATTAAGGAGAAGGGTGTCCAAGATAGAAACTGACCATATGTAAATAAACAATGCAGCCAAGTGGAAAAACTCCTATCTTAATGAGCACCACCAGCCCCGAGTTTGCCTTCCATGGCTTCCAAAACAGGACTTTCCTCCGTGGAACTCCTGAAGAAGACACTTCAATTAGGGGCTCAGGTTTCCACATCATGGGCTTGCGAGATGGGTGAATTGGTTGTACCCAGTGATTCAGTGCTGCTCAGGCAGCCGTCCAGGTTAGATTGGGGATTTTTTTTTTTTTAATAGAGAATTCAAATGAACTTCACCCAGATACAGACTGGTTTGGACAACTGGGGCCAGAGACGGCTTGTCAGAAGCTGTTCTCCAGGCTACACCTTTAAGAAGAATGGAGATTGGAAATGCCTCTCCTCAGGCTTTGCCAGCGCCAGTAGTCCTCCCATTTCCATCCAGTTTTGAACTTTGCTCTGAACTGACCCTGGGCTAACTCCCATGGTCTGTAATAATCTCAACCTTCTTATCCCCTCAGGGCAGATCTTTTCTCAATGAAGTAAAATCACAGTGAAAATTCCAGGTAAAGCTGATTTCTAAGCCTTGGTAGGATACCCATTTAGTTAAGGGAATGCCTTTTTTTTCTTTGGTTATAGTTATTTTCTTCTGTCTTTTTTCTTTAAGGGGTCACCTAGATAATCAGTGCTTCTAGGAAATACTCCAAACTGGCCAGTGTATTTGTCATATTGCTTCAGAAGAACATTGGGGTGCAGGGAAGACAGCTGCCAGGAACCCGAATTTAGAATTACAGAATTTTGTATTTGGAAAATACCCGAGAGACTTCTTTGTCTAAACCCTGCTTTTAGAGATGATGAAATGTAGGGATTATATGATTTCAGCCAATTTGTGGTAAACAGAAATTCAGCAACTATTGCTTGATGGCTTCAAGAAGATAAGCCCCAAACCTGTGGGTCTCCAAAGGATTTTGCTGTGAATTTCCTTTTCTTGGGCAGGGATGTAGCTCAGATGTAGAGTCCTTGTTAGCAAGCTCAGGGCCCTGTGTTCCATCCTCAGCACCACACCAAAAAGAAAGAAAGAAAAAAAGATTTTCCTTTTCTTGGGGCAGGAAGAGATCTGAGACCAGAATCTAGTTCAATTCCCTTGTTTACTTTTTGGGAACACTGAAGATCAAGAAATGAAGTGATTCACCTGAGCCCACAGGGTCACTCAGCTTGGCACAAAAGTTAGATCCTACATACCCAACTAATGTCCTTCCCACCAGATACAACCCCCCAACCAAATGGACAGGCAGTTTTCATATTCTGGGATTTGTAGAGGCTTCTAAGTAAGCAAGTTCAAATTCCAGGCTTTGGTTGCTTTGTTTGCAGAGGCAGTTTGTAAAACCAGTTGTCCTTCCCCTGAACACATGGAAGAAAGAAAAGGAAAAGGTTGATTCTGCAACCCGGCACTTCCTCGTTTTATGAGTCACTTTTATAAAGAAAGAGCTACACATTGCTTGGGGACTAATCCAAGACTTTCTTACTCAGTAAACTTTTAGTGAGCACATAGCATGTACCAAATGCAGTGTCAGGCACTGGGTCTGCAAAGAGCGGCTGGTTGCCTTGTAGGTGTTTGCGGTGTGCAGTCTAACATGCAAAACAGGCACTGTCACCTGGTAAGTCTTAGAAATCAAGCTATTCCACTGTTAGGCTATACTGTGGTCTTCACAGCTAGATGCATTAGGAAATGGGATGCTTTACCATGGTAAAGGCATAAGCTTTGGAGTAATGGGTTGGGGTGCCCTCTTATCTTTATGATGATCCCAGTGATAAGAAAGCAAATTGTTCTCCAAAAATCTAAGTCTGCAAGAGAAAATTACTTCAATCTAGCCACAACAGAATAGCACAAACATGAACCACTGTTTAAAGAATAAAGGAATTGGCCATCCAGAAGGGGCATGGAAGGCAACTAGAAGTCAAAAGTTCACTATCTTCTAAGCGGCTGTCACAAACCACATCTGACCAGTGTGTCCACTCATGTTTCCAGGAGCCTTCTACCATTCGCACTTTCCTCCTAGCTTAGTTTCCTGGGGTCACTTAGCCAGGTTTGACCTAAGATAATAGCTGATTAACTGAATTCAGTGCTAAATTCAAAAGTCTCGACTGCTGAAGCTGGACTGAACCTTAAAGATTTTCCAGACCAATCTTCTCATTTGACCCAAGAGGAATTCAGGCCCAGGGAGGGGAATAGACTTTCTCAAGATCACGTAGTTAAGTGGCCAACCAGACCACTTACAGACCTTTTTACACAGACCTCTATACATAAATATCAAGAGAGCTTTTACCTTTAATGAAAATGGCTTTCTCACAATTGCTGTATAAAACATTTCCCTTGCTGGCCTTTAAAATGCTGCTCTGTAGACTTAGGCAGCAGGGTCGTGTATGGGGCAGGAGATTTGATTGTGGACCATTTTAGTGAAATCTCTTCACCTCTCTGGGCTCAGTCTCTCTATTTTGCAAAATAAGGAGGGTTTTACAGAAGTTGAACAAGATGAGCTCCAAATTCCCTCTCAGCTGTAATTCTGTAATTTGGGGTCCATAGGTGGTCCTCACCCCATCCATTTTGCAACTGCAAACTAGTGATTATAGGGCAGAGGAAGATGAGCAGCCATGAGGAGGACTGCAAATTTGCCCTGGCCCAGAGCATTCTGATGATGAGAGGTAACTTCACCTCATACCAAAACTGTAGTCCAGTCCCACTCATCCAAAGGCCATCCAACAAAAAGACTCTCTCCTGATCCTGTAGTAATGTTAAGTTAAACAGGGGTTCAGCTTGTCTCTCTGAAACCTTTATCTGATTTTGTCCCAATGTGTTTCTGTTCAAGTTAGTCCTGAAGCCTCCTTTTAAGACTTTTTTTTGGTACCGGGATCAAACTCGGGTCCTTGAGCTTGGCACAGCAGGTGGTAAAACCACTGAGCTAAATCCCCAGCCCTAAGACTTTTAAAACCTCATGGGTACCTATACGGGCACCTGATCGTGCCAGTGTGACCTTGGACTTAGTAGCCACAGTCCTGACTGCTTGTCAGAAATGTGCTGAACTCTGGAAGGACGTGGCTAGATGGTTGTAAATAGGACACTTTTCAGTCCTAAGGTTTGTTACCATCATCAACAAATACTTTAGTCCATGAAGGCAGAGACCATGTTGCCCTCTTTTCATTGTAGAATCCCTATGATGAAAGCAGAGGGCCTAGCTAGGTGTGCCAGTGCCTACCTGTAATCCCAGCACTCTGGGAGGCTGAGGATGGAGAACCACAGGTTTGAGCCCAGCCTAGGCAACTTTGTGATTTAGCAGGACTATCACAAAGTAAAAAAATTTTAAAAGAGGATGGGATGTAGCTCCATGTGAAGGCCCTGGGTTCAACTCCCAGTATTGGGGGAAAAAAGTAGAGAAAAAGCAGAGCACCAGCCTGACATCTGCTAGGTATTTTGTTGAAAAAATAAAAGCTATGTAGTTTGGAGGTGCACAGGGAAACAGATACAGGCCCTGAATTTTGTGACCTGATTGAGTAAATAAATGCATAAAAACAAATGATACCCCATTATTAAACAATACCTGTCTGATGAAAGAGTCCCTTCATGAGACAGAGGTGGTCAGAGGACGCCTTATGGCAAAAGGAGGATTCAATGAAGCAGGGCCTTGGAGGATGAGCTGAGCCAAATGAAGGAAGACATCCAGCCCTGGCAAATGGCATGGCCAAAGGCAAGGTGGTCAGAGACCAGAGGGCCGTGAAGAACCCATTTTGACTGTTAGGAGACTCGAGTCTTAGAAATGCAAGAAAGAGGGCTACCAAGACAGGTCAGGCTCCAATTATGAGGGACACTAAAAGTCAGGCTAATTAGTGGGTCTTATCCTTCGGGAAGAGAATAACCACTGAAAAAGCCTGAGCAGAAAAATGCCATGACAATGCAATATTTCCAAAAGACTAATTGAACCGCACACATGGAACCAGTTAAGCTATTAAAGGAGTCGGGGGCTTCACACAGAAAAGATCAAACCCATGGCCTTATGGAAGGGGTGCAGGCCAAGGCCCTGACACCCACAGGCTTCCCACAATCACCTCTCCTGCTTCCCACCTATACCCTCCCCAGGGACAAGCAGTGTTCATGTGCCAGCCCTGGAAAGCACTTTTCTTTAATACCCTAAATCATAATGCTAATGCTGTTTCCACGCCTCTGCCTCAGCTGCCTCAGCCTGAGTGAATAGAGGTGGCGGGAGGCTGGAGGGCTCCTGGCTCCCGTCTTACATCAGTTGCTTTTCATGTTGGGGACACAAACGACCATTCTATAGCTGCTCCTGAACTGCTGACCTGGGCTCCCCCCTTCATATTTGCTCTCGGGCACATCACCCTGAAATGGCCTCTGCTGCAGACAGCGCAGGCTTCTGAAAGCATCTTATGCCCCAGTTCCCTCAGCTAAGTATTTAACAGTACCTGAGTATAAGTAGTGGTATAGAGTCCTTCCCAGGTACTGGGCTGCTGTGAGAATGGAACAGTCCGTAAGATGAATAATAAGAAGCTAGGTCAGGAATGGTGCTATTTAAGATTTATAAAGTTAATTCAGAATATTAGATGTGATGATCAGAAATCACAAGTCCATGGCATAGATGAGCTTATATCCTACTTTTTACTTGCCTTCACTGTGGATAAAACCTTTGCTTTTGATTGAACATGAAAATTTTATGGCTAGATGGGCACACATGCACCCTTCAACAGCACTTTTTTTTATGATAAGTTCTCGCTATGTTTTCCAAGCTGGCCTCAAACTCACAGTGATTCTCTTGCCTCAGCCTCCTAAGTGCTGGGATTACAGGTGTGCACCAGCACGCCAGCTTCAAAGCTTTTACGTACATACAACTGTGTAATTATAAAGAATTCCTGAACTTGAGGTTGGTTACCATTAAGAGCTCTAAGACCATAGGATTATTTATTATTATAAGCACCATTAATTTTTAGTTGGGCTAAAGTATGTATTAGTTGAAAATACATGTAACTCTGGAGGCTTTGTAGTATTCATGTGCTACAGCTCAGCATAGAAAACTTAAATTGAACAGCCTCCCTCCAGGGTAAACAGTGACTCCTCTTACCTAGTGGTGTTAAGGCTAAGGTCTGCTGTTCTGATGCTGCAGGTTGAAAGGCACAGTGAAGTCGGGGTAACTTAGTTAATGTGCACAGACAAGGTCCTGCAGGTTGGCAGAGCCTTATTTAGTCACTGTATTCTAAAGTATTTGTCATTTGCTCAGAAACTTAATATACCAAGTGGTGATCAACTTGAGGAATTTATGCAAAACAAACTCAGAAGTCAGCATTCTCACGTTCTGATGTACAGTTCCATTCTGTCCTTGTAGATACATCTACATGAGACACAAAATCATACATCAGAATCCAGCTCACTGGGTGGGAAATGAGAGCAGTCGGAGTTTGCTGGCCTATTGCAAGGCCAGTGGCATCAAGCAGAGATGTATATGGCATCTCCAGGGCCTGGCCGAGCTGTCAGTGTTTGCCTTTCACTTCTTTTTCAGATTTCACTTCTGATCAATATTATTTATGATCAGTTCTGTCCTTGCTTTGTCTCCTCAACATCAGCATCAATACTTGATCTGGCGGCCATTCTGTGTCCTTCAAAAGGCCTCTAAATAATCTGCTCTAATTCCATGTGTTTGTTATTTGTTTCCCATTTAACTATCACAAGGAAGTCTTGCAGGTCCCAAGATAGATAAATAGGTAGGTAGGTAGGTACACTGATAGATTGGTAGACAGACAGACAGATATAAAATTACCCAAAGACTATATAATTTATATGAGTTGACTATTCAACAACCTAAGAAATGTGTTAAGTAGTTCTTATCTATTATGTTTGCTATAGTATTTGAATAACCATCCCTAAGGCTATTGGTGGTCTGAATTTTTTTTTTATTTCAGATCAAGAATGACCCAAAAGAAATCAAAGCTTTGTTGCAGAGCCAATGTGTATACTCAAGTGCCTGATGGAGGATGGGGTTGGGCAGTCGCTGTTTCTTTTTTCTTCGTTGAAGTCTTTACATATGGTATCATCAAGTCATTTGGTGTCTTCTTTAAAGACTTAATGGACAGTTTTGATGAATCCAACAGCAGGATCTCATGGATAATATCAATATGTGTGTTTGTCTTGACATTTACAGGTTAGTACATCTTCGGTCTAACCATGACATAAGCACCTGTCCCTGTTAATCTATCCAAGTACATAATAATAGTAATAGTCGCTGTCTCCAGGATGCATTCCCCTCTTGAGTCTTGATTAAGTGACCTATTTTCAGAGAGTTGGGAAATGACAAGAAGCAGTAGGCACTGAAGAAAAAAGCCATACTTCCCAGCTTTGACTGCCTTCTGGCGAATATACTGTATTAAATACCTACTGCCTGTACACTCTTACGATATTATAGAGTATTTTGAGGCTAGCAGTAAACCCCAGTTCTGTGAGCCTGTAGTGACAGTCTAAAGAAGTGACATCAAAAACTACTTGGCATATTAGGATCTGGTTTCATAAAAGCATGCTTAGAAAACAGGTTGGAAACATGTAAATGTGGATACATGAAGAAGAAAGACAGGATGTGTAAAAGGATATACACAGTCTTCCATATCCAAGGGTTCCTCACCCAGAAATTCAACCAGCTGCTGACTGAAAATTTACAGAAGAACACAATGAGCTCCCAAGTTCCTCTCAGAAATTCAACCAGCGTTGCTGGTGACAGGTGCCATGTGGATGGCTGTGCCTGTATTAAACATGTCCAGACTTCTTCTTCTTGTCATTATTCCCTAACATGCAATATAGGTGTTCGTGTAATGTTTACATAATATCAGGTATTATCAGTAATCTAGAGATGATTGAAAGTCTATGGGGGGATGTGCCTAGGTTAATATGCAAAAAATGCTAAGCGGGGACTGAGAATCTGCTGACTGTGTTATCCTCAGCCTTTGCTAGAAACAATGCCCTGTGGATCTGAAGGGAAATGTTATGCAAGATTACAGACACTGTCCTGAAGAGACTCCACACTTCAAACACCTAACTTCCCGAGGACCTGAACTGACTCTCATTATTCAGTGCTCACAGATCCAACTGCATAAAATAAAACGGTTTTAGTGTCATTTTAAAATAGTAATATTCGCTTGTTCCTGCATGCTTCATGGTCTCACACAATCATGTCTGTCAGAGGCATCAGCAAGGCTTTCCTGAGAGAACAAAGCTATGGACTCAGCCAGCCTAGCCAGGCTAGGCTGGTGTGGTGGCCCATGTCTGTATTCCCAGCACTGTAGGAGGCTGAGGCAGGAGGACCACAAGTTCAAACCCAGCCCAGGCAACTTAATGACTTACCCAAGACCGTGTCTCAAAATAAAAAAAGATCTGGGGGCATAGTTCAATCCCCAGTACCACCAAAAATCAAAAAAATCCTTGAACTGACCTTAAACTACCCTAATTTACCCCAGTACCCTGTCAAGTTAAGAAGGTAACTCTAAATGGTATATTCTAGTTAAGGCTTTGAGCCAACATATTAGCTCAAAATTATGATAGTGGTTTCATTATTAGCTACATTCAATATTAGTTTGTGTTCTAATAATTAAAATGAAATGTACATATGGACTAACTCCAACAAAACTGAATCCTTTTTATCTCTACCTTTTTATCCGGCTTCTATTCTGTCTTCAACTCAACTCTCACTGGTTCACTCATCTCAGTGTACTCAAGTCAGTGTTAACTAATGTATAACTAGGAACTAATTTGCTGGATTTAAATGTCTCAGTAGTAAGGCATATAGAAGGCTCTTTGCATCATCTATCGTACAGCTAGGTTTGCATAACTAAAAATTTACCTATATCATTTTCAGAAAAGTCAAAACTAACAGAATTTTACTCCAAATGGAGCTTACAAAAAAAAAAAAAAGAAAACAAAGCAATAAGTACAGGAGAAAAGATTCACGCAACTATATATAGCAAAACCAGTTTTTACAGAGTAACATAAATACATATTTAATTTTATAGCTCCTCATAGTCAAGATCTTTCATCTAAAAATGTAGATAATATAGATAAGAATTTTACATTCTTTTTGCTCTGGCTTTGAGTTTTTTGTTCCTGAAGGTTGAACCCAGAGCCCTGCACAAGCTAGATGAGTGCTCTCTACAACGAAGTTATGACCCTAACCCCTTGGCTTTTTTGTTTTTGACAGGGTCTCACTGTGTAATTTATGCTGGCTTTGATCTCACTAAGTACCCCAGGTTGGCCTTGAATTCTGCAATCCTCCTGGCTCAGCCTCCTGAGTGCTGGGATCACAGGTGTGCACCACCATGCCCAGCTGTCTTTCTCCTTAAAAGGACAAAAGAATCTTGTCCAATTTAAACAAATACTAAAATAATTTCTGAACCAACATCAGTAGCCATTGTACAAAATGTATTACATACTTAAAATCATCCCTCCATGTTCAAGACTGGAGGAAGGACCTACACTGAAGCCAACATGGATGCCTCCATGAGCTGGCCAGTCACTTTGTTTTTCCCTGCAGCTCCCCTCTCCACGGTCCTGAGCCATCGCTTCGGACACCGCGTGGTGGTAATGGTCGGAGGGCTGCTGGTCAGCACCGGGATGGTGGCAGCCTCCTGCTCACAGAAGGTTCACCACATGTACATCACCATCGGGGTCATCTCAGGTGAGTGGCCCTCCCCAGCCCAGAAGTGCTCTAGACGCTTGGCTTGAAGAACAGCAATGGGAGGGAGCGAATTAAACCCAAATTGTACTTTTTTCCTCTTTAAAATGAATAATGTCTGCAATCTGTGGTTCTTAACTGGGCGATGTAAAAACTCCAGGGGAGATGGAAACATATTCTCAAGTGCCACAGAGTTTTTGTTTGATTTGTTTTTTTAAAGTATTTACCAATGATGAAGACAGCTTCTCTTTTGGTCTCGTTTGCAGCCAACAACCACCATTTCAACAAAGTAGGACTTTAGTCTCTTTAGCCAGTATTTCTTTTTTTTTTTTTGGTACCGGGGACCAAACTCGGGACCTTGCACTTGCGAGGCAGGCGGCAGAACCAGAGCTAAATCCCCAGCCCTAGCCAGTATTTCTTAGATAAGGGTCTGATGACCCTGCACTTATTCTTGGGAAAACTAAATAAACATTTTCCCTTTTACTTTTTCTTGCACTGCTGGCTGTTGAACTCAGGGCTTTATGCCTGCTAGGCAAGCTTTCACCACTGAGCTACCATATGCCTGGCTTCCACTGTGTCCCTTTAAATGGAGTCCATACACACACTGCTCATGGACAACATACAGATGTTTGTTACATCTGCATGCCGGAGATGGAACCCGGGGCCTCATGTGTGCAAGGCGAGCACCCTACCACTGAGCTACATCCCCAGCCCCCCACCCCCTTTTTAAATTTTGAGACAGGGTCTCACTAAGTTGCCCAGGCTACCTTCAAATTGCAGATCCTCCTACTTCAGCCTTCTGAGTAGCTGGGATTACAGGTGTACACCACCACCACACCTGGCAAATACACATCTTATATAAAAATGATATTCATTAATATATTTGTCCATTATGAATTCTATATACTTGAAAAAATGCAGAAAAGTGAAAAACGAAACAGAAAACACTTTTTATGCTCCTAGTGTCCTACAACAACTGTTGCAACGTATCTAGACCTTTGATGAAACCCATTTTTGTTTGCTGATTACCGTTTTCCACAATGAGTTACTTGGCTCCTAAAAACAAAAATCCTCCGTCTCTGAACCCATCCTTCCAGTATCCATCAGCGTGTGCTTCTGTCTTCTCTTCTGACTTTTGCCCACAGGTTTGGGATACTGCTTTAGTTTTCTCCCAACTGTCACCATCCTATCACAGTACTTTGACAAAAGACGCTCAGTAATCACTGCAGTCGCTTCCACGGGAGAATGTTTTGCTGTGTTTGCCTTTGCACCAGGTAGGTGGACAACAGCAGCATACAAATCACTGTGGATTAGGAGAAACCACTCTTCTATGCTTTTCCCAACAGTGCAGCAGACTTTCACTGCATGCATAATGAAAGGTTGTTCCCCCTCTCTTCCAGGGCATTTTTAGGGTATAGCCTTCCAACCCCTATTAATTCAAACCTTTTCAGTCTAGGCTAAACTTTACATATAAATAGGAAGATATATGAGGCGTACTCAGTGGTAAGACTTCTGTGGAAAACAAAAACAATTCTAAAATAATGATGTTGGATTGTTCATATTTTTCTCCCCTTTCAAAAGACATGTATTCATTGTGGACTTAAATTATGATAATAAAGTCAGTTTTATTATGTGTATATGGGTTATCGCACAGCAAAATTTTTATACCTGGTTTATTTCCTTAACTAATATTAATACATGAATGACAAGAAAACTGAAGGAGACAGGTAACCTTGGAAATCCAGATTCTTTCTTTCTCTGCCATTTCTTGATGACTGTGTCAGTGGACTGCATTTTGTTCATAGGAGATACAGGTATTTAGGAGTGGCGTGACAATGTCAGAAGCATCTCAGATGGTTCTGAAAATTGAATATGTGCATATAAACATACAGAGAGAAGCAGACAGGCAGAGGCAAGAAATACGTTTTTGTTTTGGCTTTTTTCAGTACTGAGGATTGAACTCTAATCCTTTTTATTTTGAGACAGTCTCGCTGAGTCACTAAATTGCCCAGGCTGGACTCTAACTTGTGATCCTCCTATCTCAGCCTCCTAGAGTGCTGGGCCATCACACCCAACTTAAGAAGATTCTTTATGATCTTGTGGGGCCTGCATTATTCTACTGTAGTGAGGGAGGTTTATGCTTTCTTTGGCTACATCATGTCCAGCCTCTCCCTCAGGTCGCCTCTGGTCAGCAGCCTCTGCCCCAATTTAATAGCAAGAAGAGGGTGGTTGTTAAGGGGATCCCTCAGGGAGAAACTTGAGAGAACTATATCATTTAATTCCAGGATACTCAGAGGAGCTTTTAGAGTCTTTGTTCATTTTTTATTTAATTCATTATTCCTAAGGATGGAGTGAGTGTGTAGAACTGTATAGCTCAGAGGTTGACGAATTGTTTTTGTAAAAGGCCACATAGTAAGTATTTTAGGCTTTGCAGATTGTATAGTCTCTGTCACAACTACTCAATTCTGCTGTCATGGCACAAAAGCATTCATAGACTATGTAAATGAATGCACGTGGCTGGGTTCCTATTCAGCTTTATTAACAAAAACAGGCAGTAGATCAAATTTGGCCTGCGGGCCATTGTTCATCAAACCTTGGCAAAGGTCACGAACTTCACTTCTTATGCTTCTGTCTGAAAAAATACATCCTCCAAAGCTCTCCCAGAGATATGAGTACAAAAACGTCTGTTTTATATATAATAATCGTTGTGTACATTTTCTCCTTATTGATTCATAAAATGCACCAAAACCTAGAATAAAGGATAGTCTGGACCGACAGCATTTGCACTGTTGAGTACATTTTTACCAAAACTATTACTAAATCTGCATGCAAATGTTTTCTGGATATTGACCCATGGATCTGGAATCCCAAACTAACCTTTGAGTTTTTCCTTCGCTCCCCCGCTTCAAGCCATCACAGCTCTCAAGGAGCAGATCGGCTGGAGATACAGCCTTCTCTTTGTGGGCCTGCTGCAGCTGAATATTGTCGTCTGTGGGGCACTGCTGAGACCAATTATTATAAGAGGACCCGAGTCACCGAAAATAGTCACCCACGAAAACCGAAAAGAAGTGCAATATATGCTTGAAAACGAGAAAACACGAACCTCTCTAGACTCCATTGACTCAGGAGTAGAACTAACTACCTCACCGAAAAATGTGCCTAGTCATGCTGCTGCAGAACTGGAGCCCAGGGCTGAGCAGCAGATCCCGGGGAACACCGGTTCTGCACACAGCGAGAAGAAAGTCCCATTGTTAGAATTCTCCATTTTGAAAGAGAAGAGTTTTATTTGCTACGCATTATTTGGTCTCTTTGCCACACTGGGATTCTTTGCACCTTCCTTGTACATCATTCCTTTGGGCATTAGTCTGGGCATTGACCCCGATCGCGCTGCTTTTTTATTATCTACAATGGCAATTGCTGAAGTTTTTGGAAGAGTCGGAGCTGGTGTCATCCTCAACCGAGAGCCCATTCGTAAGATCTACATTGAGCTCATCTGTGTCGTCTTATTGACCATGTCTCTGTTTGCCTTCACTTTTGCTACTGAATTCTGGGGTCTCATGTCATGCAGCATATTTTTTGGGATTATGGTTGGAACAATAGGGGGGAGCCACATTCCGCTGCTCGCTGAGGACGATGTGGTGGGAATTGAGAAGATGTCCTCTGCAGCAGGTGTCTATGTGTTCATTCAGAGCATAGCAGGGCTGGCAGGACCACCCCTGGCAGGTAATTTAAAGGCACAACATACAAACCCCACTCTACATTCCTAGTTTCCTGTTCAAGTCTAATTTTAAAACCTACTTCCACTTTTACACTTCGTTGCATTTTAGGACTGCAAGGGATGAGAAGTCACCTGAGCCAACCCTCTTAATTTAAATATGAGGAAACTGAAGGCCAAAGAATTTAAGCTAAAAGCCATACAGTAATGACACTAAGCCAGGATCAGAACCTGTGTCTGCAGGTTCCAGTTGCCCAAAGCCTTTTTTTTTCCCCAGATAAAGTCTTGCTTTGTAGTTCAGGCTGGCCTAGAACCTGCAGGATCCTCCTGCCTCAGGATCCTAGGTGCTGGAATTACTGACATGCACCATCATGCCTGGCGCCCAGGTATCATCTATGGTCTATTATCTGCCTTGTCTAATGCTAGAGGGGAAACCCATGGATATGGGATCTTTGTAGCCCATCTGACTTTGGGGCAAATAGAACTAAGGGACTTCTGCAAGGTATTTTCCTTTCTGAGGAAAGGTGTTTGGGAATTAAGCACATAGCATTCAGCAAATACTTAATTGATTAGTACAGAATACTGGTTAGAGTAGAAATCTTAACCCATTAAAAGATACCTGAAGTGAACGCAAGCAAAATAATATCGTTTTTTCCATACTTAAGAATAATACCTTTTGGGACAGGGATTTAGCTCAGTGGTTCCATTGCCTGCCTCGCAAGCACAAGATCCCCCAGTTGGATCCCCAGTACCAAAAAAAAAAAAAAAGAATACTACCTTTTAAGCTGAGTTCAGGGCCACACACCTGTATTCCCAGCTACTTGAGAGGCTGAGGCATAAGGATCGCAAATCTGAGGCCAGTCTGGGCAATTCAGTGAGACGCTGCCTCAAAGCAAAATTTAAAAAGGGCTGGAAATGTAGCTCAGTGGCGGAGTGCTTGGCTAGCATGTGGGAGGCCCTGGGTTCGATCCCTAATTCTCTCCCCACCAAAAAAAGATTATCTTTTCAAAGAAATACACATCAAACTGTCCCATGTTTTAGGTTCTTTACTAGGATAGACCATGAAGAACAAGTCAGCAGCTTAGGTTTCTCCAATGCTAAGTACAGTATACTATGTGTTCATTTCTTCTCTCTAAGCTAGCTGGAATTTCTGCCTTCAGCATTTTTTTTTCTTGAGGAAAAACACAATAAGGAAGGCAAAGAAACTGAGCAGGTTCTGAATCAGATGGTAGCCCAGGTGAGAGTCCACATGTGGTAATGATGTTTTAACAATGCCAATGCTTTCTCCCAGGTCTGCTTGTGGACCAAAGCAAGATATACAGCAGAGCCTTCTACTCCTGCGCGGCTGGCATGACCATGGCTGCCATGTTCCTCGCCTTGGTGAGACCATGTAAACAGGGGCTGTGCCAGCATCGCCATTCAGGTCAAAAAAAACCAGAGAGCCATCGTGGGAAGGCATTACAGGACATACCCGAGGACTTTCTGGAAATGGATCTTGGGAAAATCGATGCTAGAGTTCACGTGACTATAGAGCCAGTATGACACGTTTTCATGTAACAGCAGCCACTGTGTTGGCTGGAAAGGGGGCCCCTGGGGACACGGGGCAGAGGAGCTAAACACTCAACTCCGCTTTCAAAGCTGCATTTTAAAGGGAATGTACATGTGAACAGTGCTACCAACATCTTTTCTTTCTCTTCCTTTTTGTTTTTGAAGCCAAAACAAAAACAACCATACATAAGTCTGGCTCTGTTCAGTAGCAATACACAGATACATAGAAGGACTCTGTTTCAAATTCCACTATTAAAATAGTGACATGAATTAGTAAAGTGGTTTTAAGAGCACACTCACACGTGATAAATTCCTAACTCAGAAAATGTCATCTAGCCCAGGTCACTGAAAGGAAATTGGCCATTCCAAAAACGAAACGTCTTGAACCATTGAAAATAACTGTTTGCAGAAATATGAGGAAAGTTTTTTAAAGAACTTGAAAAATGCTGAGTTTCCATTAACAAATCACAGCCTCTGAATTTTCCAAATATTGCATGAGAATGACATATACCATAGTTTAAGGCCAAACATTAGAATAATTAGCAAAAAAGTTTAAAATATATGTAACTTGAGCTTCATAAATGTGAAGATTACCACCTCTTTATGGCCAGTCATCACCGGAAGTATTGCAATACAGAATATACTAAATTACATTCAAAAATGTATCTCCTATTGCTTTTAGTTATTCAGAAATATGTGATTGTAGTGTCCTTAATTTAAAGTACTATTTATTATTAAGTTATTCGAGGGTAACTGAAGTAATCAAAAGAAATGAAAAGTAATCTGAGACATACATTGCATTTTTACCTCCTTGCAATCTTTTAAGTGTCTCAAAGAATACTTATCCTGTAAAAGGCCAATTTGTGATGATTCTTCAGTTTGATTAAAGGCAACGTGTGCTACTTAAAGCGGGGAGGGGGAAATAATGGATAGCAAATTGCCTTAGCTTTTTTTTTTTTTTTTTTTGGTACCGGGATCAAACTCAGGACCTTGTGCTTGCGAGGCAGGTGTGGGGCCATGGAGCTACATCCCCGGCCCTGCCTTAGCTTTTAAAAAGGTAATTTGTTTTATTAGCTAAGTATACTTGAGGATCTTATCTGATCAAAATTATATTTTATTGAATTGTTGAAGCATTTCTGATTTTTTTAAAATCTTAACTGTTGAGGTATTTCTGTATTTTATTTGGAGTAGCAAATTTGTGATGTTACCATCACAAGTTACAAGTTGCAATTTACATCTTACACAGAGCTTGACTTGATTGTTCTGCGTTGCCATAGGTATCGGGTAACTGGTCATAATTTTGGAGTTACACTACATGTTTAATATTTCTCATTTTAGCAGTTTTCTGTAAAGAGGATAAGAGGTGGGCTGTTTCCTCATCTATTTTACTGCATCTCACCTTACAGGTGATGGTCAACGCTTGCTGCTCCATCTTTATTCATCTTTATTGTTAATTTATGACTACTCAGGGGGAAAATATAACAAGTCTAGTTTGGTTCCAGGTAAACACAAGCTTGAATATTTCTCTGCACTGAAAGGAAAGTGGCATAGTTCATCACCACCGGCTACATTTTGTATAGCATTTTATCAGCCATAGAAATAGACAATCTGTAAAACTCTGGGGCAGTTGCAGGAGGAAATGACAAAGTGTCTGTCTAACACAGATGCACCTGAAACAAGCAAAGGTGGACGTAGCAAATCTCTGTTGGGCTTGAGGAAAACCTTGGGCCGCGGCAGCTTTGCGTACTTACACACCTTCAGCACTTTACAGCATACTTTGTACTATGAATGTTCGATCCAGTTTAATATTTATGACTGATTTCTGCTCTATGTCCATTGTGTTAACTGCATGAGAAAAACATGTATGCCAATTTCAGTATGTCAATAATCAAGGTTTTAAATATTTGGAAGAAAATAAAAGCAAGATTTGTTCTGTATTAGTGACATTCTGGTACTTCTAGATTTGCAATAAATTTATGGCTTTTTATGTAAAGAGACTTATTTTTGTCTGTGGTCAAGTTTTTTTATTCACTTACAACATTCATTCTTTGACCTAATTAAAATTACAAAAACTCCAGTAAATTCATTTTACATAAATACTTTTTAAAATTTTTCTGCACAACCTCTTTAGCTCTACTACAGACATAAAATTTCTCTGAAGTATGTATTGAACTTGACATTGAAAATAGGACAGTGTCACATTGAATCCTCTGTCTTTTTTACTTTCACATCACTGAGACAAAATACCCTGCAGTCACAAGTTACAGGAGGAAAGCTTTATCTTGGCTCACAGTTTAGGAGGTTTCAGTCCATGTTTGGTGGGCTCCAAGGCAGGGTGGCCTGGTGGAAGGGTCTGGTGGATGAACACTCTTCACCTAAGGTAGCCAGGAAGCAAAGAAGGAAAGGAAGAGCCACAGAAGGAGATAAACTTCCGGAAGCACCTCCCAGTGACCCTCTCCTCTGACCAAATCCCACCTCCTAACAGCAAGCCAACCACACTGTCCGTCCAGAACCGCCACCGAGGAGTGCAAGAGGCTACAGGGGACATCAAGATATAAACCATAACACCTTCCTACAGATTATTTAAAGCACCTTAGAAAATAACTAAATAATTTCAGGGAAGTATTAAATGATAGATAACAGGAGAGGGAAAACGGTATAGTCAAATGAAGGCGAATAGTTTCAACTAATCACTGAACTGAGAATGAAAAGGGTGACTGAATTATTTCTTAATGAAAAGTAACAAGAAACGATACTGTGGTAGCCACAGACTAAGCCTATAAAGAGTACTAAGGACAAAAAATTAAGTCTACTTAACTTAGGGTTTGGTCTTAAATGTCCCCAAAGGCCCTTGAAGTCTTGGTTGTGGCCAAGCCTGTGGCCCCACTAGGAGGTGGCATTTGGGGGTCGCCCTTCAAGGGCACACTGGGACCCCAGCCCCCTTCTCTCCCTCTGCTTCCTATCACAAGATGGGCAATTTTGCTCCATTAAGTGCTCCTGGCCACCGTGTTCTGCCTTGCCCCAGGCCCAGGTAATCATGGACTGAAACCAATGAAACACCTAAAATGATCTCTCTGCCTTTTAAGTGGTTTATCTCAGGTATTCTGTCATCCAGAGGGAAGAAGGTTAACACAACTATCTAAATTCAGTTACAGAATAGTCCTATGAATTTTCCTAACCTCTAAGTAAACAGCACAGACTCCAGGCCAGAGGTTGGCAAGCTTTTTCTATAGAGGTCCAGAGAGTAAATGTTGAAGGTTTTACAGGTCGTGGGGTTTCTATGGAGACTTCGTCTCTGCCATTACAGGTCAAAAGCCATATATAACATGTAAGTGCACGTGTATTTACATTTCAATAAAATTTTATTATGGATGCTAAGATTTAAATGGTATAAACACTATCACACATGAAATACTCCTGTGATTCTTTTTAATCACATGAAAACATTAAAGCCATTGTTAGCTTGAATGCTATTTAAAAAACAGGTGGTAGATTAGCTTTGGCCTGTGGTTTCTGGCGCCTGTTTCACCTGTCCGTGACTCTGGAAAGGGTCAGTACCACAACTCTGAAAAGTAACAGTCCAGACTGATATGAAAGTACAATTATGAATATTTTGGTATGGATGTAGACTGTTTCCCTCCGCCAGTTACAATTATTCCAGTTTTTAAAATGAGTGCTGTAATCCCAGCACTCTGAGGATGAGGTAGGAGGATCGCCATGAGTTCAAGGCCAGCCTGGGCTACACAGTGAGACCCTGTCTCTAAAAAACATAAATAAATAAATAATGACTTAAGATCATGTGCCCTCTCAAGACAAATGTATCCTTGATTGATTCAGTGTTTCCAAGCCTTTTCACAAAGTTATCAATTTTATACTCCAATACTATATGATGTATCCAGACCTGGTGGTGCACACCTTTAATCCCAGCATTCAAGAGCCTGAGGGAGGAGAATCAACACAAATTCAAGGACAGCCTGGGCTTGCATAGTAAATCCAGGGCCAGCCTGGAATACATAGCAAGACCTCATTTCAAAAGAACAAAAAAAATTAATGTAATTTTTGTGCATGTATTTGCCTTTCTTTGAGCTTAACACCTGGTAATAAAAACAAAAATGCATTCTCCTTCCTCGTCTTCGTCTTTGTCCTCTCCTTCTCCTTCGTGTGTGTGTGTGTGTGTGTGTGTGTGTGTGTGTGTGTTTGGGGATTGACCTTCCCACTGAACCACATCCCCAGTATCTTTTTTGAGACAAGCAATTCTCCCTGGCTGGGGTCAAACTTCCAGTACTCCTGCCTTAGCCTCCCAGAGTGCTGGGATTACAGGCGTGCACCACTATGTTTAGCTGGGAAATATATTCTTAATCCGGGTTTCAATGCTCCAGATTCAAGTCACCTGGAAGCATTTATTACAGTTAGATTTCCATACTCCACTTCAAATATTCTAAGTCAAAATCATCATGATCCTTATATCCCCCCATATCCAAACATGAGGATTTAGAGTTTAGAAGCCATTGCATTTAAAATTTTAAATGGTTATGAACATGACTTAAAACAGCCAATATAAAGACAATTTAGACATGTTACACTCTGAATGACCACTCTGATGAGTGTGCTTTGCACTAAGAAGCTGTCCTTGTCTTCAGATTTGTCCTTAATAGGCAAGTGTGTCCTAAAAGTGGACATCTGCATGCAATAAGTGGGCCATGCACAAGGGCATAAGAAAGGAAACTGGGTCCCCCTGGTGTTCAGTTTTGATAATTACTCTACAGGCACAGGATAAGGAAAAGTGGTAAGAGAACTTTTGCTTTTCACACAAACACTGTCAGACCCAAATCAAAAGGGCCTTGGTGCCCATCCATCCTGGAGGAGAAACTGGACAGGAAGCCGGATGCTCCAAAACAATGATTACTGGGAGAAAATACAAATTGTGGTCATGTGTTTAGATCTTTTACGCCTTTCCAATAACTCAAGAAAACACAATCTTAAAAGAATATGTTTTCATTTGCTAATCTATCGTGACACAGTGTATTTACCATTGTTATTCTCTAATAATTTTTGTTATGAAAAATTATTTTTCACCGAACAGCTTTTATATTTTCTTTATTAATATCTACATTGAAATAAAAAATATTTTTAAAAATAAAATTTAATGATACTAAAAAAAGAAGAAAACAACAAGGATGCAGACTATCCTAGCAACTCACTCCCCTAGAATTCAAGCAGAACTTTAAGAAACTCCTCAGAGCCCAATATGGTGGCACACAACTGTTATCCCTGTATTCTGGGAGGCTGAGGCAGGAGGATCTCAAGTTCAAGCCCCGCCTGGGCAACACAGCAACTTGGCGAGATTCCGTCTCTAAATTAAAAGGGAAAAACCTTTAAGGGATGGAAATGTAGTTAAATGTGAAAGCCCAGGGTTCAGTCCCCAATACAGCGAAACACCTGCTCTGCACTGACGCCCATTCCTTCTTAGTCCCAACTTTGCCCCTGAGCTCCAGCCTTGAAATGCCCATGTGCAGCAGGGAGAGGTCAACCAGGCATCTCCAACAAAAAATGTCCTCAGAGGAACTCTGGCTCCTGCTTCTCCAACCCACAAATCCTACCAGCTCCACTTTCTAAATATATCCAGAACCTAAGCGCTCTGGCAAACTCTACCTACCCTGATCCAAGTCTGTATCATCTTAACTGGATTTTGACAATAGTCTTCCAGCTTGTTTGCCTGCTTCCACTCCTGCCACAAGCCACCTCTGTCTTCATTTCCCACATATCACCAAGACAATCCTTTAAAGCACAACACAGACACAAATCCTTAACGATGGGCCTGGGTGAACTACCAGATGCTGTTACTTTCCCCTTGCTCTGGCTACACAGGCCTCCCTGGTTACCTCACTGCTCCCAGATTTGTTCTTCCTGTCCTACGGCCTGGGCCTCCAAACCTGAGGTTTTCCTTGCCTGGTACCTCCTTCCCCTAGATGTGGATATGGTGTGACCTTTTAATTTGGTCACTTTCAAATGCCACCTGCACACGGAACAGCAAAGAAACTATCCTCCTCAAGAGTTTCTTCCTCTTTTTTCTGGTGGGGGAATCAAACTCAAGGACACTCTCCCAATGAGCTACAGCCCCAGTCCTTTTTTATATTTTGTTTTGAGACAAGTTCTTGCTAAATTGCCTTAAGGGAACTTTCCATCCTGCCTCAGCCTCCCTGGGTACTAGAATAACAAGTGTGCACCACCGTATCTAGCTCCGAATTCTTTACTCTGACATTATGTTACAAAAGCATTTGTTTGCTCCTTGCTTATCCGTCTCTTCCATGACTATATTCAGATGGTGAAGCTTTGTTCACTGTTATTATATCCCCAAGGTGTTGGGCAGAGCCTAGTGCTAGTAAGTGGTACTCCATACATATTATTGAAAGTATGAATGAATGAATGAATGAATGAGTTCATTATGTCTCATCCCCTCCCCCTACATGAGAGAAAATAAAAGGTATCTCTTCACAAATGCAGCTGAAAAGGCTGGTGCTGCTCTAAAGCCACTGGATGGGACTAATGGCTCAGAACCTGTGCCCAGGACCCATCTCCCAGCATCTAAGCACTGGTCTGGAAGAGCCCAGCAGGTATATCCAAAAGGGATTCGTCAGCTGCAATGATGAAAAACTAATCCAACATAGACTGAACGAAACAGAGGGAAGAAGTTAACACAGGTGCGAGGATGCAAATGGAGGGCTCTGAGTTTTAACATATTGCCCACGCAGATTTTGTTTTAACCTAACCTTTTCTCCAGTAGCTCTTTTTAAAAATATATATATATATTTGTAATTTAGCTCAGTGGTTTCGCCGCCTGCTGCGCAAGCGCAAGGACCCGAGTTCGATCTCTGGTACAAAAAAAAAAATTGTATGTGTAATTGACACATAGTAATTGTACATAGAGGATACAGTCTAACACCTCAGCCATTTATCATTTTTTTGTTGAGAACATTCAAAATCCTGCCACTAGCTATTTTAAAATATACGGTTGACCATTTTGTTTTTGTTTTTGTTTTTGTTTTTGTTTTGCAGTGCTAGGAATCACATCCAGGAGCTACACCCCTAACCCATAATTGCCATTTTTTCCCATGATGTGTTTTTAAACACCTCAAGTGACAGCAAGTACTTTTCTAAATATTGTACCTTTCTTTTTTTGTTGTTTTTTTCCTTCCCCTCAACCCTTCTCTGAACCTCTTTTTTTGGTTCTAAGGCAAAAGTACATAGACTAATTTCTCTTTACTTTGAGCAACCCCAGATGGCCCCACTAGAATAGAAAAGAAGTTGAAAGTTTAATCTTCTAATCCCTTTTATAAACAACACGAACATGGTTTGGTTTCCAGCTGGTGTAATTCCGCGAGGTCATGTAACACAGTGAAAGCAAGGCAAAACTCGACATCAGGAAACAGGTTGGATCTCAAATTTGCCATTGGTTTAACTACACACAAGCTTACTTAGCCAGGGTTTGTTTCTGCATCTGCAAAATGAACTAAACTATTTCCATACTATCACCACTTCACAGCTCTGCTTTCCAAACATGAAAACGCATCAGAAGGAAAGAGCTGGGCCTTGGCAACGAAAGGGAAGGTTAAAAAAAAAATCTGCAACAGAGGAGAGCAGCACAGTGGAAAACCCACTGACTCCAGAGGCCTTTATGGTGTGCGGCCTGAAGACCTCCATGGCCCTTTTCTTGCATAAGCCTCTCTCCTTTTGGCTCAATTTCACTGGCACATCTTTGCCAGTAGAGACAAGCGGTAATCTAGAGCTACATTCTCCAATACACAAGTCACAAGCCACATCGGACTGAAAACCTGAAATATGGTCACTCCAAAGACAGACATGCTATGTGAAATACACACCAGACTTTGAAGAATTGATATTAAAAATTAATATAAATTATTTCAATATTTACATTGACTACATGTTGAAATCATATTTTTTGTTTTTGTTTTTGTTTTTTTGAGACAGGGTCTCGCTAAGCAGTTCAGGTTGGCCTTAAAAATCACTATGTAGCACAGGCTGGCCTTGAACTCATGGAGATCCTCCTGCCTCAGCCTCTTGAGTTCTAAGATTTCAGGTGTTTGCAACTACACCTGGCTTGAATAATATTTTGGGTGCACTCTGTTAAATACTATATATGATTGAAATTAATTCCATCTGCTTTTTGCATTTGCTAATGCGGCTACTGGAAAAGTTAAAACTTCATGTGTGGCTTGTATTATACTTCTATTGGACCATGCTGCTCTAGAGATTAGATATCAGAATCTAGCAAGTAACTACGATTCAAACTGTTAAATGAAGCATTTTGTAAACGCTGTACAGAGAACTGGTTGCACTCACACTGCTCAGCGGTCATCGCCATCCTGATTTTCAAGGCCAAGCCCAGAACGCGCGCACCAGGGTGCAGTCCACGCCTCTTCCAGGCGGGCCTCACGGGAGGCGGCGGTGGGGTAGGCTGCGCTGGGCCCCTGATGCCGGGCCAGGCCAAGCTGCTGACTCCACACTTCGGAGCCGGCTGGGGGAAGTCCCAGGCGGAAACAGGTGGCGCGCCCGTGGCTGGGGGCAGCTGCTGGTCCTGCGCGCCCGCACCCGGGGGCAGCGAGCGACTCGCTTCCTGCTCAGAAAGGCCCGAGCAAAGGGCCGGCTATAGCAGTCCCACAGCTGCCTGCTTGGATTTTGCTGTGGCTCCTGCCGAGCAGTCTGGCCAATTATCCCCTAAAGGATTTGAAATTTAAAAGTACTCCCTGTCAGGGGAATTTTTGCTTTAAAAAGCAAGCTGGACAAGGAGACAGACAAACCTTGCCCAATCGTTATGTTTAACCCTCTCCAGTAAAAGTTTTTGTGGACTGAAATGTTAAACCTCACCCTTCCTTTGACTAGAGATACTACAAATTCAGAGGAAGCTGAGGAGCAAGACCCATGACATAACTGAGCAGTATTTCAAAGCCTCATATTTCTAAGAAGACATTTAGGCATTTATTCTCTTTACCAGTTTGCTGTTTCATTCATTCAGCATTTGCAGGGCACAATCTGCTTGGATTTCTGATTAGTGAAAATCAATTTTTTAAAAACTAAGGATTCCACTACAGTACATAAAATTTAGTTGCAGTAGACAAATAATATTTTTTAACTTAACCCTAAGACACTGTTCAAAAGTGTATACAAGACAGTTACTTAAAATTGCAAAGTAATTGCTCATTACATAGTCTGGTACATAAACGCTGTTACATAAAAGTTTAGCTATTGCTCCTGGCCTCAGTAAGGAGTACGCAGATGAACTTTGTATCTTTCCAAATAAGTAACTGATTTACTGACCTAGGCTTAGCTGCAGTCTCCTAGGTTTGTGACTAATGCTTCCTCACAGGACTAAAACTATACTTGCGTAGAAAAACGAAAGGAAATCTGAAACAATGGGCAATATTTAAAAACACATTATTCGTGGAGGAAATAAAACTCATGAACATAATCTATAATAGTCCATGCTCCATCTGCTTCTTTTTAGTATTACATGATCAAGGATTCTAATTAATTTTAATAGCAAACCATTTTCAAAACGACTTAAAAGGATTTTTAAAAATCTAAAGGAAACCACTGCTTCAATTGTAAAATGTACTCTAAACAAATCATACTACATAAAAACATAGCCAAAAAATTTAGGTTTCAAAATACCAAAAAAAAAATTTTGTTTTTAATTGCCTTAGCATGAGGTGGGAAAGTGGGAGAGGCTGTGACTCCCCGGTGCCCAATAAAGTGGCACACTGTAATTCCCACATCTCTGGGCTATCTTGCTCTAGCAGATACCACTTGTCAAATCTGAGGTTGCCAACCTGCCCGTCACCATGGCAACAGTGTCACAGCCTGACAGGGAGTCATGGGCATTCTGGGAATCCGACAGATAACCCACTGCACTCTCTCCTCCACTCAAACAATGCAGAAAAAGTGAAGAAGACATTATAGAAATAACCCTGAAATCTGCTCTACAACTGTAGAGCATGTGCAACCTTCACAAATATAAATGCCATTACAGGTTATCTGTAGGACTCATTAATGACTCATCAGTTGTAGGTGACGGTAGCAATGGAACACCCACTACCAAAGGCTGCTGTAAGTACCAGTTATTTTCACTTGGAAATATCCTTGAGAGGAGATCACTATTTTAAGCTGCTAAATGTTGATACAGGCTGTTTCATTCAGGCTTAAGCTGAGAAACAGCAAGAAAAAATAAAATGTAAGGCATCCCAGAGTAGGAAAAGCACACAGAGAAGGAGGGATGCAGATGGCAAAGACAGGAGCCCATGAAAGTTCACAATAAGACATGGTTGGGCCACTCAGGGATATAATTGCTTCCAAAAACAAAAGCATCCCGGGAAAACTGTGCTAGCCAGCACAGGAAGCTGCAGTGGGGAAGTCCGTGCATTCCTTGGGACACATGGAGATTTTAAAAGTATTTATTTACTTAATAGCTACTGTTAATCCTAGCTGTCTCCTAAGACAAGCATATTTGAAGAATGGAAATGACGTACTTACTACTGCCACCTACCAGGCTAGTGAGAAGAGCTTATGGAGTATTCAAAATTAACCTCCTTTTAGGTTAAGTGCTTCTATTCTGCTACTTGGACACAGCAAAGAATCAGTAAGAGGTTCATTCCAATAAAGTACTTCACCCATTGAGAGCATAACGTGCAAGTATTTATTTTATTACTCCTATCTGAAGACTCTTATTTTTGGAGAACAGCAAGGCATTTTATTATCCATTCTTTCCATTCCTTAAAGGCTTCGATGGGTTTTGGCAAATTCACATTGTTCTCACAACTATGCTTTGGAGTTGCTCTTGGTATGTCAGCGGATTCGTCATCAATCCACCTCACCAGTGCCTGGAAAAACAGAGAAGAGGCATTTAAAAAAATTTGTTCAAGATGCATATTTTAGCTGGGTGTGGTGGCGCACACCTGTGATCTCAGCACTCAGGAAGCTGAGGCAGGATGACAGTTGTGAGTTCCAGGCCAGCCTGAGGGACAGTGAATAAAAGGCCATCCTGAACTAAATGGAGAGACCTTGTCTTGGAAAAAAAAAAAAAAAGAAAAAAGGAAAAAAAAAGCATATCTTAGCAAATCACAGCATAAGAGTTATAGGCAAGAGAACAACACCGGTGTCTAGATCAGGCTGCCTCAAACTGTGGTTTGTATCACCCTCTGATGCTGCTGCATTTGATAACATCTACGAAGACAAAACATACTTATGATATATTGGGTAAAATAGTATATACAAAATATAACTGTAAATTATGGTCAACAGTATGCATAGGAAAAAAAGATGAAGAAGTGTACTATTTCTCACACTGCTTATTTTAAAGGACAATAGTAACTTTCTTTTTTGCAACTTGCTAATTATTCCACAAAGCATTCAGCTATGCCTTTAATTCAGTGTGCAGGTGTATATGCACAGAAGGGTATACAAACGCCTGGGCAGACACATGTATGTGATGACGTGGATGCAGACACTGAAGGGGAGTCCCCTGCGTGTATGGTCACACCCATGAGTAATTGCATGAACATGTATGATCTGCTGGGGACCTGTCAGGGCGCATGGGGGCACACGCTCGTACACACTGAGATCAGGTACTTTCCCTTTCCTCCTTAAAGAAAAACACCATATCTCCCTCCATTACATATTTGGGAAGATAAACCACATCCACACATATATATGGGTTTGAAAAAATGAACTCTGCCACACAGATCAATATGTATTTTGGTCTGCCAAGTCAAGCTCTCTAAATGGATATGAAAAAAGGAAACGTCTTTCGCCATTTCTCACTGAACTATAAGATAGTCACAGTCATGCGTAAGTTTTAAGGTTACTTGTTTGAACGTTGTTTTTCTAGCCACAGCTTCCTGCTTATCTTTACACTAATTTCCTCTGATAAATTATAGCTGCAGAAAAGGACCTAGCAGAGAATGTCAATTTGCTACTTAGACAACCACTTCCCTTCTCTTTGACCTGCCCCAACACTTACCTTGTATCTTTCTACAATACTGAAGCCAATAGCACACTGCAACTTGCGTAAACAGATAGGGCAAAGGTTTAGAGGGCGCCTGTCAGCTTCTTCCAAGTGGTTGGAGCCTTGCATTAGGCATGCAAGCCACTGGCAGTGTTGCAGTCCAAATATATGTCCAATCTCATGGGTTAAAGTCTGTAAGACAGTCACATTGCAGCTTTATAGCACCACTGTCAACAAGGTACACAACACTTGTCTTATTTTCCCAAGAGATTTATGAGCACCAACTCCCTAACCATCATCCCCCAAACTTCACTATATCTTCTGAGATGTAGTAATCTCTCATTTCTCTGAATGTCCTAATACTTTCCTTACTATCTTTAATTACTTCTCCTGGACCGGAGTTTCTCATCCTCAAGAGCACTAACATGTTGGTTAGTTCTGTGTTGTGGGGAGTTGTCCTGGACATTGTAGGATGCTCTGTAGCATCCCTGGCCTCTGTCCACTAAATGATAGTAGAACCCCTCTCCAATTGTGACAATCAAGTGTGTCCAGACACTGTCAAATGTACCCCAGTAGCAAAATCCCCACCTCTGGTTGAAAACTCCTCTATCCCAGTAGGGTAGCTGTTAATAGTTCAGATTTGGGCCCCTTTCCCCGGAGATGCTGATTCCATAGGACTGGGAAGAGGAGCCTTGATCTGCATGCCAATGAGCACATCAGGTGATGCTAAAACAGGCGATGTTTGGAATATACTCTGAAAACATATTTCTAAGAGATTTACTTCTCAAACACCAACAAGTAGTCCTGGGGAAAGCAGAACTTCTCTAGCCAAAAGAAAACTGTCTCTGGCTAGGAAGGAAGCAAGGTAAAAACCAGAAGATGGGCTTTCCAAAGAGCAGGGGTGGGGATATGTCAGAACTGGCATAGAATTACAGCTCAGAATAGCTGGAGTCCAAAGAAGAAAGCCCTCTGTCACTGAGACACCAGAGAGCAGAGGCCCCTCCAAAATCCTCAGGAAGGCAGCCATGCTTATGATCATGGCAGCCTGAATGGGGACATTACTTTCTTATTCCAGAATGCAGCAATACAACTAATAGTGAAGGCAAAGGTATAGTAAAGGGCTGTGTGTACTAGCAGGACCAAAAACACACCAATATTATAAATTTCAATAATAAGACATCCAATTAAATTTTTTATTGATTATTTCTCTCAACCAATAGCCACCAAAAGTACACAAATGACATAAACTCATTTATAATATTACCTTAAGGACTGATGAAATATGATTAGGGAATTAAGATTTCTTTCTCCTTTTAAAAAATGCTCCAAAGGGATATTTTACTTACCTTACAGGATCGCAGAAGTAAAACACTAGTGATTTCAGGAATATAATAGTTATCAAAAATGGAATAGTCACTGGAAGATTTTTTGTGGAGCTTCTTCACTTTGCCTTCATAGTGTGAGGTATAGAAGTGCCTGTCGTACCTGGCGAAGCTGAATATCCCCACACCTACAAAAGAGGACCCGCAACCACAGAGTGAGGGTAAAGATGCCTTAAGGAAAGACCAAAAGAGAGCCTCCTAGAATATGTGGTCTGTGACTGCATATCTGTATTACTGTGTTCACATAGTCTAAATGCTTTAGGTTTGTGAACATAAAGGAAGATTTTTCACCCCAATTCCCAGTCAAAATCTTTACATGCTATCCAATGTGCCCTGGCCAATAAAATTCCATTGACTTAAGATAAATTCTAGGGAAATTGGAAGTTTCGGAGGATTTCTTCTCTAAAAGAAGTCTTTTTCTCAAAGAATAGTCTAAATCGAGTACTCCTCAAAGGAACTATGAAAAATAATTACATGAAGAAGAAGCAGTCATGATTTTCTTTTTGACCACAACAAACAGATCCATGTCAGTAAGGGTTGCTGGTCTTCCTTCCTACCCTGCCTACTCAGATGTCGGGGAATCCTCGTTTGGACCATGACTTTAGACAGAATAACCTCTTCTCCTTCCCCACCCCACCCCACTCACTTCTTAAAGCATAGCACAATTCTATTACGGTGTCAAGTGACCAGAATAAACACCCCTGTAACTGACTTCCTGTGTTTCATTTAGAGTTGTAATCTACAGTCTTTGCATGCAAAGAGCTCAATATATAACTACTCATTCTATAGGGCACTGCTTCGTAACTCGACTTGTTTACATCGTCACTTTTATTTATGCTTCTCTCTCAGTTGTTAATGTAATAATTTTTTTTTTTCCCCAGTACTAGGGCCCAAATCTAGGACTTCATGCATGCTAGGCAAGTACTCTACCAGTGAACTACACCCCAACCCTGAAATCTTTTTTGATAAGGAAATAAATTCACAGTAAGTTTGTCCAAACCAACTCTATTAAAAAAGAAAATTCCTGGGCTGGGCTTTAGCTCAGTGGTGCCAGGCCTGCCTGGCAAGCGCAAGGTCCTGAGTTCAATCCCCAGTACCAAAAAAAGAAAAAAAGAAAATTTCTCACGTCATAGAAAGTGTACATTGATATTTGAAGTTTAGGGAAAGATGACATTCTGGAAGTCAAGAAAAAAATGAGTCTAATCATGTACCACAAGTGACTGCTGGCCAAAGAAATGTGAACTTACTTCATATTATAATACCTTTAGCAAGAACATTTCTATTTCCTACAGATAGATTATTGTCCTTAGTAATAAATGTTTCTCGATTTGAAAATACCAATCTTTAAACATGGAGGAAACAAGGTCACTTGTGGTCTGATACTGTCTTGCAATACAGCAGATCAATCTTGCTACTTTACATGTTGCCTTAGGACATGAAATATTTAACTCACCCAGAAAAAGCGGGGGTAAAAGAAAAAATTTGGCAGGATGTTTTCTGAGCTCAAATGCATAAGATAAATTACCTAACAATATCTGGAACAAATTGTTTTTAATTTCTTTTTAATGTTTCCATCTCTAACAATAAAGGGGGGAACTTCTGATAAAAGCTTGTTCACCTTTCAAAAATCAGCAAGGCAGTTGCTATCTCCAATTTCTAAGAGAGTATGGTGGTAGGGTCATGGTTTGAGAACCTTACCAGTATAGGGAAGCTCACATGAATGGAGAATTGAGGGTAAAGGAGCAGCACCCACCTCTAGTAGAAAGAAACATTTGTCAAGAGAAAGCCCTCTTCCCTCCACTATACCCTGAGCCTATGTAGCACGCACCAGACAGTGAACTCTCAGCATAGTCCCTGGGACTCACTACCCATCCCTAGCCTAATAATCACTCCCTTAGGTCACTGGTCTTTTTCCCTTTCAGCCTGTCTTAGATCCTGGGGGATTATGTGAAAGAAAGAAGACCAAAAATGAAGGAGTGGAAAGTAGAGAAGTAGACAGATGACAAAAAGAAGGAAAAAGATAGGTGAAACACGACTTGCTTCCAGACCATTTCTCACCCCCACACGAACATGAACAGTTCCCAAGGAGTGAAGTTTCTTGCATCTCACAAGTTGAACTTAATTTTTTTAGGGAAAAAATGTCATTATGGAGGATGAGAAAGAAGCATAATTATTTATCAGTCTACGCTATTCCATCTATGCAAAATGACTAGGAAAAATCAAGAGATGAAGATCAGCAAGATTTCACATGTCCATGGTAACACTGTACTTCAAATATCCTTAATTTAATTCACCTTTCTCCTGAATTACATTTACCAGCTGTTGCACTGAATGTCTATAATCTGGCAGGCATTTTATATACTGTTTTAGGCATTGTTATGTAAATTACCTCCAAAGGACGCTCTTACTACCTCAAAGTCACCTAGGTAGTAAGTGACCTACTGAGGAGGAACCCAGACCTTTAAGAGTCTATCAACAAACAGCACGTTTCCTCCCTGAAAACATTATTCAGTTTTAAATATCAAAACTATTAGCGGTTGAAATTCTTTTTAATTCAACACCTCCAAATATTAACTTGAGGAAGTTTTCACCAACAAGGTCAAAAAGAAATACCATCTGTCAGAGAGGCCTGTCCGAAGACAAAATTCCATGAGTCTCTTGGGTAAAGATCAATCATTGTTATCCCCACAACACAGAAGGCATCTTCAGGTTTCTTCTTTTTTAAGAAATTCAGGATATGCCCTATTTAAAAAGAAAAGTATATACGTATACACACGTAATACACATTTCCTTGTCTTAATTCAAATGATAAAGTTGCTTAACTCACCTGCATGAATTTGTAGATTTTGTGTATGATCATTGACTCTAAAGGAACACCTGGTGGCAGAAACAGAAACTGGTTCTAGCAGTTTTACTGTCAGGCCATAGAAAAATGCTTCACAGTAGCCCTTGAGCCGTTTAATGTATTCTTCACTGATAACTCTAGTGTTTCCTAGAGCTCCTAGAATAGGGGAGAAAATGTAAAGACAGACTTTAAGACATCAAAACATTCAATCTTAGCCTGGCATGATGCTGCACATCTGTATTCCCAGCATTAGGTAGGCTGAGTCAGGAGGACCTGGAGTGCCAAGCCTACCCAGGCTACATAGTGAGTTCAAGGCCTGCCTGGACTACATAGTGAGACCCTGTCTCAAAAAACAAATAAAAAAATCAGTCTTTACCTCAGTCCACACATTAGAAAGTTAGAATTAGAAACAAAAGCAACTCTAAATTTTCAGTACACAAATACACCTTCATCAGTCATTGATGGCAACATGAATTAAAAAGAAATAAAATGTTTGCTTTTAAATCAGTCTGGCTACAAAACTTCTACCACTGTAATGAATGAAAAAAAAATGATCATAAATGGCAGACCTCTTGCCTGGCAAACACAAGGTCCTGGGCTTGATCCCTAGCACTAATAAGAAGGAAACGATCATAAAAAACTGCCCACTTGAAGCAGATAATAGCCCAAACCATTCCTAACAGCACCACAGCAAACCAAACCCAAATATATACCAATGGACTGTATACAAATACTGCGTTTCTCTGGAGAGGGTGTCTTTCGGTAGGGATCACTGAAAAACTCCTCAAAGTCCTGGGGAGCCTCCGGGTGAGAGGTGATCCAATCGGACTGGGAATGTAAGGTAATGGGTACAAAGAGATCACTGGCTGGCTGGAAGGCTTCGCTCATTAAACGCTGCTCCCCAGCATCTAATTTCTCATACTGTGCTACAAGCTTTGGGTTCTTTGAGATGAGAGCTGTTTTGAGTGTCTGTTCAGAGTGCCGTACTATTCGCATCTGCCAAAAAACAACAACAAAAAAGAGCAGTCAGATATAAAATGCATAGCCATACTGGGGACTTTAATCTATCCTCCACATACATATATCTCTAATTTCTCCCTAGATTTGGAATGACTAATCATTAATGTCCTAGAGTGGTCACATTTAAGAGTGGCTTCCCTACTTCCAATCATTTTCTTGGGGAAAGTATCTAAGAAATTGAAAAGAAAATCATTAAGTCCATTCTTCCATCTCACAGGGAATCTGTTCCCTTTATAAAAGTTAGTGGTGGCCCTAAGACTATGCATGACCTGATTTCCTATTTTCTTGTCATTTGGATAATAATCACAATATTCTGAGATGACTCATTAGGGCCACATGAAAAATGCTCATTTTTTCCAATGTGACTCAAGGACATTCAGTGTTCAACGAAAAGAGAACTAATGTAAGTGCCTATTTCTGTAATTTAACTCCAGGCTCACAAACTGTATCTCAGCCACTGAAGTTGGTCATCTCAGTCATCTCACTGGGGAAGACATCACATGACTAACCAAAGTCACGACTCACAATGACAGGTCTCTTTCATTCACGGCATGTTCCTGTGTAAAGCTTTCATCCTTCCATTGAATGGGTCAAACAGATGTTCCATCACATGGTTTTTTGAATTAGAAAAGGAAAAAACAACATCTCTGTCTGGATCCTATCATATTTTCTAATTATCTAGATTTTTTTCAGTTTAATGATTAGACAACTGAGGGGAAAATTTAAGCTAATGTCTGTTTTCATTAAATCTCCTTATTCTGGGGTTCAATAGGCGGCAGAAAATTTCCCATCAAAGGCCTCCAGAGCTCAAACTCTGAGCAGAGGATCATCACTGCCACACCCTTGAGCTGAAATGTGACTTCTACAGGATAAAACGTAAAACAAGATGTGCCTTCCTGTATTCTACTTACCTTTAAAGTGGAAGGCTCCCACTGAAGTTTTTACCTTACAAGGATAGGCATGTCCAAAAAAGTAGTGTAGGGTGCTTCCATACTAATTCGAAAAAGGCGGTGTGAAAGGTCAGGAGGCCTCCTAGGTCTACCCTGGGTGGAGATGCCAAAGAAGGGGGACCGGGGAGGCAGCAGATACGGTACTGCAGTGGGCTGAAAGCCAGGGATGCTTCCTTCCTAACAGTGTAACTTCCCGGGTAAATTATGACCGGTTGCCCAGAGCAACTCGCACTTCAGGCTCGGCCCGGTGTAGGCGCGACCCGCTCCCCACCTAGCGGGGCCTCTGCTAGCTTTTTCTCCCCGGGAAGCTTCTTAAGGGCCTGCCGGGCTCCCTGGAGACACCCGCCCCCGCAGTCCTCGCTACTTCCGCGCGGCCGCCCCTCCCACTTCCGCATCCCTCCCCACAGACCGCTACTGTCTCGGCCCTCTCCACCCGAGGTACCCAACCCAAGCGGCCAGACCGGGCTCTAACAGGTCCCAGCTCCACCCTCACCCCTGCGGGCCTCCATGCCGCCCGCCGGACAGAGTCTCGCTGCCCTGCGCCCGTGCGCACCGCGCCTGCGCCAGACTTCGCCCATAGGCACGCCCCCGTATTCCGGCCCCGCCCAGTTACACGTCACGCTCCTGGGCGAGACGCGGCTCACGCAGGCGCAGTAGTCCGCCCAGAGCGGCGACTCTGGCTCTCGGCCGCGCAGTAGAGCGCAACCTGGGAGCTCCGAGGACGGCTTTTTCCCGCTTGCCCTTGCGGGGGCGGTGCGGCCTACTTGCTGTGGTCCGGGCTGGGTCCTGGTTCCCCCGGGGCCCCTGGGGTTGCCTATTGGTGGTTGCTCAGCAGGCCGTGGGTTTGAGAAACGACCCGGGCGTGAGTGATTTAACCACTCGGTTCCAAAATTAGTCAGCCGTGCCCGCAGGTCGACGCAGAGCCCGGGCGCATTGCCCGGGCTCCATCCCCTGGACTTTCCCTTCTGGGCCTGGCGCGGCGGCGGCGGCCTCACGTGCTGCACTCTCGAGCCTGGGGCCGAGGCCGCCTCGGCCCACGCTCTCTGCACAGCCGTCCTCGGCCCGGGGCCTACGGTGGGCCCCGCAGCCCGCGGGAGATAAGGGGCCAGAGCTCCGACCCCAGGACTCTGGCCCCCTGGTGCACCTGCACAGCCCTTCGGACGCCGCGTGGGCAGGTGGGATATCGCCGTCCAGTACCAATCGCTACCCAGTCCGCGTCCTCCCTTGGTGGTTAGGGGCCTCCGGGGTGCCTCCAAACTAGGCCGCACCCCACACCTCCCCACCCTTCTTCTTACACAGCTCCTTTGTTTTCCTCCGGGCCTAGCCCAGCATCACCTCTTGTCTTAGTAGTTGCCTACGAAGGAACCCTAAGGAAGTCGTATCTCGTTATAAACCTGTTCCCCCAAATTCACCTTTTCCCACTGGTTCCCTCCCAAGACTTCATCTCAAGGGACAGACACCCCGCTTTCTTCCCTGCAACCCTTCTTCCTTCTCAAACTTACCCCAACACGCTCCTAAGCTCCTATTTGTATTTCTCCAGCCATCTGCTTTTCCAAGGTACTGCAGGTTCCAATTTTTAGAAATGAATGGATATGTTAGTGGTCCAAGGGAATTGGAGATAATCAGTATGAATTCACATTTGAATTGTACACTGTGTACACTCTGAAATATTTAGGATTAAAGGGGCCTCCTGTCTGTAATTTACTCTCAAATGGCTTAGAAAAGTTTGCAGACAGACAGCTAAAAATGATAAAGCAAAAAAGGTAAAATGTTAGCAATTGAGGAATCTGAGTTGAGATTATTTAGGGATTCATTTATGTTATTCTTGCCACTTTTGTGTAAGTTTCAAATTATTTTAAAATAAACAATTTTGCCAACTTGGTAGATTTTTTTAAAAAGTACTATATAGAGTGATCTAGCTTTGCCTTTCTCTGTGTGACTCCCTTTACCAATAATGAGAAACCTGGCTCCTATTATTTAGTTTCTTTCTTTGTTCTATCCGAGGATATGTTCTAAAAGTAACTTTAGTATTGTTAATCCATGCCACTACAGACAAACAATCCTGCCAATTAGCATTCAGTAATCATCTATGATTCTTTATAGTCAAAAGATATATATTAAAATGCTCTTAAGTTTCTTGAGTAAGTACTTCCCCCACCTCTAACTTTGCCTTTAAGTGTAGCATTGGTGTTAATGTGAAATATATTTTTGATTCCTTTGGCTTTGTTTGAAATTCTTTTCTAAGAATTTTCCTCCAATTTTGATTGTATGGTACATGAACGTGATTATTTAAAAAGTATCTGGGGATTTGGCTCAGTGGTTCTGCCGCCTGCCTTGCAAGCACAAGGTCCCAAGTCTGATCCCCAGTACCAATCAATCAATCAATCAATCAATAAATAAAATGTCTTTGTTTGGGGTCTGGGATTTAGCTCAGTGATTATGCTGCCTGCCTTGCAAGCACAAGGACCCGAGTTCAGTCCCTGGTACCCCCCCCCAAAAAAATGAAGTAAAAAGTTGAATTTTGCCAGACATGGTGGCTTATGCCTGTAATCCCAGCACTGGAGAGGCTGAGGCAAGAGGATGGCTTCAAGTTCAAGACCGGACTGAGTTACATAGGGAGATCAAGACCAGGCTGAACTATATATACGGCAAGACTCTGTTTCAAAGCATCAGATAAAAAAAAGTTGAATTTGATGACAATTTCCAAAGATGGTAGACAGTCCTGGCAGAAGTGTGTAGAAACAGAGTCTTCCAGGTGAACAACCTTGGCATTGACTAAACATGTTTATACTGATTGACATAGTAAGAGGTCTCATAAATTTACAGTCAAGGAAAATCACCAAAATATTATAATTATGAAGGAAAAAAAATCTTTAGCTATTGGAGACTGGAGAAAGCATAAATTGTAAATTGTAGACCATAAATTACACCTACTTATATATTCCAATACAAAGTAGCCATTTTACAACATTTTTGAATGATGATAGTGACCTGAAAAAATAAATACTGAGGGGGGAAAAAAAAGTGGAACACAGATATTTATAGTGTTGTCTGATTTAGTTTTAAAAAGATGTTGCCAATAAATAATAATAGTCATTATCTCTGGGTGATGAGATTTGGTATGGTTTTGAGCTCTCCCTCTTAATTTGCTCATTTGCATTTTCCAAATGCCCTATAATAAAAATATATTACTGCACTTGTACATTTTAAAGCAATTTGTCCAAAAAGTAGTACATTTTGACATTCGTACATATGCAAGCACTCCTGGGTGTAGCAGCTTCTCCATGCTCTCTGGGTGGTTCCCTGCTTCCCTCTATCTTCCTCCCCCTTCAGCCGTTTCTCAGTCCATTTTCCCTGCAGACTTTTCATTTCACTTCCTCTGACATTCCACTAATCCGCGATTCATTTAGAGGAACAGCCAAGATAGCATCATTCTTCCTAGTGCATTGATTTCATTTAAAAACTATGCATTTGAAAATATTCCAAGTACATGTTTTTAAAACTAAAAAGTATTAAAAGGTCTAGGTATGGTGGTGCATGCCTGGAATATTACCTCTCAGGAGACTGAGGCTGGAGAATCTTGAGTTCAGGGCCAGTGTGGGGTATATAGCAAGAACTTACCTCAACTCCCCCCTGAAAAAAAGTACTAAAAGGATTGTAATGAAAAGCAATAGTTGCCTCCCCACCAGCAGCTTCCCGTAGATGACTGCTCTCAGCTCCTTGGCTATTTATCCCTATGTATAGTAGTATGTATAGTAGTTTCTTGATCTGTTCATTTTAGCCAGTACCTATGGATTTGTTGTCATGATAGACGAGGAATTAATTCTCATAATACTTTCCACTTCCTATTCCTCTTGGTTGCATGGTTGTATCATACATTTTGGTTGAATCTATGGTCAGTATTTATATTATGATTATTATGCAAACACTGGTCACTACAGAACCAAGTGTATACTATGGTCATGCTTTCTTGTTTGTGTAACTTTATTTTTTGCCTGGAGTTAATAATTACTTTACTTCTGCTGGGTGTGGTGGTGCACACCTGTAATCCCAGCACTCAGGAGGCTGGGCAAGAGGACTGTCATGAATTTGAAGGCTTCCTGGGCTGCATAGTGAGCTCAAGGCCAGCCTGAGCTACATAGCAAGACCCCATCTCAGTAACAATAATGATGATAATAAATGGCTTCATTTCTGTTATTTGAGTCCTTTTTAGAATTATAGAATATTCATTTGCCTAGATTTTAATTATCTTCTCTCTGATTCTTTACTTTTTTTTTTAATGCTTCACCATCTGTGTTACACAGGTATTAATATTTCTGCATAGCCCAAGCACAGTTTGCATTTCTTCTCTGGGAAACTTCCTCTCGTGTTCCAGTCTAAGCTGCTGTCCTCTGTTGACCTGGTGCGTACCTGTCACCCTGGGCTGCAGTCTCACTCCTCTGCTCTGTTGGTTCCCTGTTTCTGAAATTCATAAATTCTGCGTCTTCCCCTCTCTTGGCTTCCTTTGAAATCTTGCATATCTAAAAATCCTGCCCTCATACTTTACTAGGACTTTACCTGGGTTTGTATGAATTCTAGGTTTGAAATCACTACCCCTTGCCCAAATTGTAAAGAACGTTCCCAGCCTCTTCTGATGTCCAGTGTTGCTATTGAGATACGGCTTCCAAACTGGCTCCTAGTTCTTTGTATGTTTCCTGCTATTTTTAGAAAGATCTCAGGATCTCCTTTTTACCCTTCAAGTTTTGAAGTTTTGAAAGGACCTACCCTTGTCTAAGCCCTTTTCCCCCCATTCATTTTGTTGCTCACTTATTGGGACCTTCAATCACGAAACTCTTTTCCTTCCATTCTGAGAGATTTTCAAGTATTATTTCTTTGATCATTTCTGCTAGATATTGGACACTCAGAATGGATCTTTTCATTTTCTTATCTTTTCCTTTCAAATATTTCCCTCTGTCTTCTTGTACTATTTTTCTGAAGTTTTCAACAACCGTTCTCTATTATTCCTTTGAGTATAAATTTTTAAATATTCTAGATTTTTAACAGGCAAAAGGCCCTTCTTGGTTGCCCATGCTGCCTTGTGCGTGCCATGTTGTTTCTCCTCTGCAGTGCCTGCTTCCCCTCCCTGCCTTGGAGCTAGCTGATTATGAACTGAAACCTCTACAAACTAAATTACTTATTATTAGAAACTTTTCCAAATGCCTCCATCAGAAGTGAGATAAAGAATACTCCTATAGACCACTGCTCCCAGGGCAGAGGAGGTGAGCTGCACGGGCACCAGCAGCACCCCCCTGCCCCTGTCAAAATGAGAAGACACATAAACAAGCCTCAAAAAGAGACTTTCAGATTCACCTACAGTAACCCCAAAGGGAAACGAGATGGAACAATCTGAAACTCAACCACCTGGACTCCCTGAACGGGCAACAAAAGAGGATCTGGAAAAAATGAAATCAGAAATAATTTCTCAGATAACAGCAGAAATTGTGCCCATAGTGCAAGACATGATTAATAAATCTAGAGAGGACACAGATAAAAAAATAGGGGAGCTGAGGAACATGATGGAATCCCAACATAGGAAACAAATGGAATCCATAAAACAATACAAACATTTTTAGAAGATAAGACTGCAATTAGTGACCAGGAAAAGAAAAAATTGCTTTAAAATTATAAGGGACCACCAGAAATCAATCCAGCAGCTGCTAGGCGATGCAAAGAAGAACAATATAAGACATCAGAGTCAATGAAGAAACAGGAGAGAGGTCAGATGACATAAACTGCTCATAGAAGTGATGGCAGAAAACTTCCCAAGCAGGGGAAAAGAACTTGACATACAGATAAGTGAGGCACATAGGACTCCAACTA